CAGGTTCCCTGTTATCTGAGTATGCTGATCACCCATGTCTAGCAGTACGTAGCAGGCTCCGAATATTTAGTTTTCATGCTTCTTCCCTATATCAAACAGTGGGCATGGCTGTATTTCTAAAAAAACGTTATGAAACCTGGCATCAGAAGGGACCTAAGGGGCCAAAGGGGCCAGAGTTTGCCAACCTTTGACTTATAAGGTTTATCTTAAGCCCCACTGTATTTTATTAAAACTATGAGCGTCTTTTAAACTTGTGTTCACCTTTATCATCCTGCAGCTTAGTGCATTGCCAGGCACATAATGGCACTTAGTAAGCGTGCGAATGACAACCCCTTAGCTTGGCTGCCACTGGTGGAAAACAAGTAAAGAAAAGAAAAAAGGAGAGAGGAAAATTAACATTAGAGAGTAAAAGGAAATAAGGGAGTGGTACTAAGAGAAGAAAGAAGGGATCACGAGGTTGAGGTGGCAGAATTCTTGCCCATGTATTTGGGGTCAGGTGGGCATCTAGTCAAAGTACTGATCTCAAATTGAGATAACTGGTTATTTATGTTATCTGCAGATCTACAAACTGAATAACCATACATGCTCTGAAAGATACAAAGTTTTTATTTATTTATTTGTTTGTTTGTTTAGAAACTGTGTCCCTTTTTTTGTTGATGGTGAGATTTAATACATAGAGGGATAGTAAAATGTTCTTGCCTGAAGTTGAATCTTACTGTGTTTATTTCCTCAAAACTGTTTTTCTAATACTCAGAACTTCAAAGTCCCCACACACTGAGCAATCCCTCTTCATTGGAGCACTCAGAAGTTGAAGAAAATGTGTCTAAGGTATTATTTAATTGTGCGGTTTTAATCTAGTTTTCCAGAATTAATATGTATTTGCATAATGTACTGGCTTGTTTCTTTTTAAGTGATAATGTATCAGCATTTGTTTTCTTATTTTGACACAAATACATATCTTTATTTTTTCTTAAGACTGTAAATGGAGAGTCATTGATGAAAAGTACTGACTTCAAACATAAACTGGAAAACCTGGAAGACAGAGGTGAGGAAATACTAAAAAAACTCTTTTTGCAGCATAAAGCAAAGTTAATCTGATTTTGGCAGTCCAGGCTATTATTCAAATCGCAGCAGATAAAATCACTTTACAGAGTGACAACTGCCAGGCTTTGGAGAGAGCAGTGTGATCTGCTTACCAGCTCCAAATGTGCATGAGGGTCAAGGGGATGGACAGGGACTTCACTCAAGAACAAGAATATCTTGTGTGGAGAAACATAGCCTAGGACCTGCATCCTGTCAAGCAGCATGACTTCTCTCCAGCCTCACAGAAGGGCTTATTGGGGGCTCTTTGAGTTTATAAACAATGTTTCAAAAAGTTATGTGGCCATGGTATTAAAACTTCCGAATTAATATTTCATTGGAACAGTGATATGAAGGTTTCCATGTTAGTTCACAATATTGTGAATTAGTATAGTACCTAACCACTCTTTTGTTTTTTGATGAACAGTTTTTTTTTCTTTATATTTTAAATTAAACATCCGGAAGATTCAAATAGTTATAAATTATGTGCAGGGTATTTAGTATATCAGCACAGCAAACATCTGTGAACTGCCATCTGCTTTAAGAAACAGAACATTACTATTTCCAGATCTTGGTGTGCTCCACTGCCAACCCATCCCTGCCCCTCCCTGCCCCTCCCTGTCCCACAGGGGCCCATTAAGCTTAGTTTTGTGTTTGATTCCACAGCTTTTATTTTTTGTCACTTTTACATTGGGAAGAATACCCTACATTGAGAAGAGAATATAAAACGTATATAGTTCAAAGAATGATTATAAGGTGAACATGTATGTAACCACAACTCAGAGTGAGAACTAGACAGTTGCCATTGACTTAGAATATTTCCACACAGAGTCATATGACCTATTCGTCCCCTCCATCCCTCACAGAGGTGATTCCTGACTTCTAAAAATCTTGTTGCTTTTCTTTATAATTTTATTTCCTTTGAGTGTGCCCCTAAATAATATGTAATTTAGTTATATTTGATTTGAAATTTAAACAAATGACATCATACTGTATATAGCTTGTATGACCTGCTTTTGCTCAAAATCATTTGTAAGGTCCATTTATGCTAGTGCATGTAGGTGAATAATATTAATTTTCGGCACAATATTATATTCAGTTACATGAATATACCATCATTTATTTATCCTTTCTAGTACTGTGGGGTCTTTGGTTGTTTGTGGTTTTAGTTGTCAGAAATATTGACACTATGAGGAATCATGTACATTTCTCCTGGTACACATATGAAAAATGTTCTCTGTATATATTTTTAGGAATAGAATTGCTGGGCCATAGAGT